TTTGCTCTGTTTGCAAAAGGCGCCACTGGCTCTGTATGTGGGGGATCTGGTTGGGACCTGCTGAGTGAGGGCTAGAAGGTGGCTGTGACCCCTGATGGCCTCTGTCCAGACTCCCCCTCTCAAGCCCTGAGCTAGGACCTCAGTCCCAGCTGTTCTTTCCCAAAGCACCCGCAGAATACGAGGGTGCCCTGGGCTCGCAGGAGGCAGGCAGGTGCCTCTCTGTATTTTCCCTTCTGAAAAGGAACACATGCCAAGGATAAATCAGTTACCATAAAGATGAGAGCAGAGATAAAAAAGCATTTTGTAGAAGAAAATAAGCACTGCCCTGGGAGCCACAGACAATCCCTCAGCAGGGGACTTCTTGGCTTATAGCCAGGTTTCCTTAAACCCGGTCTCAGGAGGGGGTGGGCAACTCAACACCCAGCACCCAGCACCCAGCACCCAGCACCCAGCACCCAGTACCCAGCATTGGTGAATCCTCTCATTTCCAGTCCTCTCCCAGTCACAGGTGTGGCTTCATGGTCCTCTGATGACCCCTTAGCCAAAGGGAACCCAACTCCCGCACACACCTCTTATGGCTGTCCTTTCACCCACCCCTGCTCACCAGCATTCAGAAAGCCATCAGGTACATGAAGACCTGGGTTCAAATCCCAGCACAGCCACCCACTGCTTACCCAGGGACCTTGAACCATTCCCCCCACCCCCCTGGAAAGCAGGCTGACCAAATTAATCTTCCTGTAACTGTGGAATTTGGTAGCAATTGATGCCCGACGACTCCAAGTCAAATGCTGGCTGCTCCACATAGTGAGCAGGTGATCCAGGGTCAAACACAGTTGAGAGGAACATGTTCACGGCTAAGCCTCGAACAACCCTCTGTCCCCACCACAAGGCGAGCCCCACCTTGCACCAGATGCCCCCAAAGCCCCTGTGTATGCACTGACTCTTTTGCACCTCACATTTCTCACCAGTAGCCCCTTGAACTTGGAAAGGTAACTCTTTTACATCCTCCCTGCATTGTATTTCACAGAAGGGGTCAAAGTTTAGTCAGGTCAAGGGTCTCCCATTGGAATGGCATGAGCTTGATCAAACCTCAAGCCACCTTTTCCTACACCTATACCATGGTGCCTTCTTTGTTTTTACAGTTGATGAAAACATGACCCAGAGAGGGTACTGGACTGGCCCAAAGTCACACAGCAGCATCAATTTAAGTGTAGTCTTAGGACTCATGGCCTAGGCTCCTTTCTCCCCCATGTTCATGCTGGGTTGCTGCAGCCTTGTTACTGAGCCCTGCGATACCAGGGGCTCCTGAACAGAGGGTACCCCAGGGAGCAGAGCCACCATGCTTACAGGATACCAGGAGACAGTGAAGAAGAAGACCTGTGAAATCTAGCATGAGGAGCAGCTCCTGATGCCCAGTCGGTGAAGAAAGAGCTGCTGCAATGCCAGGCAGCGGGGCCCCATTAGGGCTGGTGGTGAGGCTCCCGGCTCCACATTTACATATAAATGAAGATATTTACAAATTAATGCATCTCAGCCCAGAGTCCCAGCTCTGCAGCTGTCTGAGCTGCTTCCTCTTCAGCTGGGAAAGTGGGGTGAGAATGAGGCTGGGAATATTACCAGGAGCCGGCAGAGCACCATTTCCTGGGGAGCCTCAAGGAGCCCCAGGGACTCCCGGTGCTTGTCCGCAGCTGGTGGGCAGAAGCTGGAAGGGGTGACAGGGTGCCTGCCTCCTGTGGGTGCAGGTGTGCATCCTTGTAGTGCAACCTTGGGTGCATCATTGTACCTCAGAGGTCCCGTCATGCCATGTGTGATGGGCTGGGCACGGGACAGGTGGGTGGTGGAGGAATTCACTCCTTAGCCCAAGGCAGGGAGTGGGCTGGGGAGTGATGGAGTGTAGGGTGTTATTAGCACTAGAACACTAGAGTACCACCTACAGTGTAAAGCCACGGGCTATAGAAAAAAAAGTGTTGTGTGTGAATGTGTGTGTAAGTTCACTTGTGTGGGTACGCATGGGCAGGGTGTCACCTCCTCAGTCACTCAGTCACTCTCTCCACCTTGTACACTGAAGCAGGGTCTGTCATCCAAACTGAAAGCTCCTTGACTGCACTAGTTCAGCTAATGATCTAGCTTTGAGAACGCCCCATTTCTACCTCTAGGGTTGCTGGGACTACAGGCAGATGGACTACTATAAGCACATGTGCTGGGGACCTGGGTTCTAGTCCTCAGATCTACATAATTGTCCCTACAGCCATCCCACCAGCCTCTGGAAGAAGTATTTTTCTGGTTGGGGTGAGTTCCTCATGTGCAGTTTCCTGGTTCATATTACACATTATGGCCAGATTTGGCCAGTGCAGTTTGGCAAGGCTTAGTTTAAGCCACTATCCAAGCAATTTCCAGTGTGCAATCTCTGCCACGCAAATTAGGGCCATGAAAATAAGGGTCATGCAAATGGGGTTATGCAAATCAGGGTCATGCAAATCAGAGCGTTCCTGGTCAAAGG